GTGCCCCACGCACACTCGCACGTGCACACGAGCACACGTGCACACGAGCGCACATGCGAGCGTTCCCCACGCACATTCACACGTGCACACGTGTGTCCAAACGCACATGCGAGGTTGCCCTAATATTTTTATACACATTTTATAATTCATATTGTATAGGTATTTATATGCCAAATTTGAATGCCCATCTTTCGATATGGGATAATTCTCAAACATCATTAAATGAAAACGAAATGTAACCCCCTTGGGCATGTGTTGCATTTTTATTGTATATATAGTGGTTGGTATAAATATAAATATTTTTGTTGTGTATATAGTGGTTGGTATAAATATAAATATTTTTGTAAATAATATAAAAGACATAAAAAATAAAAAATTAATTTTTTATATAACCGTTAATTTTTGTTGTATATAGTGGTATAATTATTTTTGTAAATAATATGAAAGGTATATAAAAAATAAAAACAAAAGTTTATTCTATTTAAAATCTTCATCTTTCTATTAACAATCTCTTTTACTAAATTTATCATAGAAACCTAAAAAAATAAATTTTTGAAAAATTGAAGTGTTATTTCTAAAATTTGTACGCATTTTATTGATATTTACATTGATAACCAAATATTTTATTTTATTTATGAATTTTTACATTATAAATCATGTAATGTACTATTTTTCTTACAGTTGTCAATAATACATTTTAAATTAGATAATATTATAAAATATTTTTAATTTGTTATTATTTGTCTAATAAAATAATTATAAAATGTAAGCTAATAATTATAATTTTAATATATAATATTATAATTAGTGATGTTGTAATAATTTTGTATTATAGTTAGTTAGGCTGTAATAGTTTGGTTTTTTTAGCGGGTTAGGGTTTTTCGCCAAAACGAGATTTTAATGGCCATTCTTTCATCGATTAATCTACTCTTTATAATAGTCTATATATAATTTAATATTTTATTCATGATAATTCTATGATTTTTCTTTTATGTGATGCAAATTTAATAGTTAAAATAAATTTATATAGGGAAAGAACATCTCAATATTCACAAATTGATAAAAAAAATGAAAGTTAATAATATAGTACCCTCATTTTTTATTGGATTCCTAAAAAACAACATTTATAATGAATTTTAATAAATTTTTCGGATTTTTTTGAAGCTTTAATCCGACCGATTTAGCCGATTCCCGATCCGGATTGCCGATTCCCCGATCCGATCGGTTTTTGAGGTGCCTAATCCGAGTCACCGATCCGTTTTTTAAACCATTGGTTGAAACAATGCTTATGCTTAAGAACGCAAATGGTTTTCCAAATTTTGATTGATAAAAAGAAGATAAACAAGCCATTGCAACTCTGGTGACAGGCATAGGCTAACCTTCTTGAGCTCACATTCTATTTCATATGTGACCTTTATTGTTTTCATGTGTTATGTTTGTTTTCCATTCTCTTACTACCACTCTCCATAAAGAGAGGGAATGCATTCACAATCAGGTTTGATAAGTGCATGTGTTTTTAAATCTGCTTGAAACAAATGAAAATCATATATACTTTAATTGCCTAGATTTACTGTTTTGGGGTTTCCTCTCTTATAATTATAATTATTCTTTGTTATTTATTACGTTTTTGTAACCAATCCCAAATAATTGTGATAAGGCTCAGATGATATGATGATATGAATTATACGCTTTTATAATTTGTATTAGAAATATGGGCATTTCACTCTCTGGCTTGTAGGAAACTGGGGTTACAATACAGCGAAGGAGAGAGAGGAAGCTGAAAGCATCCCCAGAATCCATATATTGGGACTCTCGGACTTCAGCAGCAAACTGAAATAAGCATCTGTCCACTAATTGAAAACCTGACCATTTTATTCATTGATATATGTAATAAAGGACTAAACCCCTATAGTTCTTGGCCGCATCCACAGTGCCCTGATCTTTTGTCAAGGGGCTCTGAAAAATTTAACCATTTTATTCATCTCTCTCTCTCTCTCTCTCTATTTGTAACCCACTGCATGGGTGCTAGTCTATAGGAGAGGACATGTTGAATGAGTAATTAGTTCTCCAAAAATCAATCTTTATGCTACTAGTAAATTTCATAATATCCTAGGGAGAAGCAATTTCAGAAAGGTCCATGGAAACATGCAATGGGCACGTATACTATGTTCCTCAAAGCATAGTTTATTTCTACTCCCTTGGTCAACAGACCTACTTGGGAGGGTTTTTTCAATATGAAATTTTAACAGGTCTATTTGGGAGGGTTTTTCCAATATGAAATTTTGGGAACCACCTAGAATTAGTATATTATTTTAGAAAAAATTTGAGTTTGCTAACACTTAGATCTCACCATCTAAAAATTGGATGCCCTTTATTTAATTAGGAGATTTATTTATTTATTTCTTAGTGCATAGAGGGTACAATTAGAAAGCGTTTATATTGAAATTACTCTATGGATTGAAGAGGTTATATTCCGGTTCGTAAAATTAATTCTAGGTGAGGTTTTACCGGAGGGAATAAATGAGCATTCTACTCTTTATCTTTTGGCGCATGTAATTAGATATCGACATTGGTAAAACAAGTAGTAGGAACTTTGTTTTTTCTTCTCTTTTCTGCTGTGTACGTGCAACAAATTTTGTTTTCTGTTGCACTTTGAGCTTATGAGTGAGAGAGAGAGAGAGAGGGGTAGAGTATGTGAAAGTGTGATCCATGATGATCAATATGCCGCATCAAAATTAAATGCAAAAGGGAAGAGTTTATATGGAGGCTCCATACAATCAAATTTGAGCTTACCTCAAAAATTTCACTAGAAGAAGTTGTTTTGATGTCCCAAATATCTTCAAATTGATCCTCTCGATATCGAGATTAATGGACATGAGAAAAAAAAAAAAGGATTTCATGTTTTGAAAATAGTGTATTTTGTAACGCATTTTTGGATTGTTAAATTTCACGATTTTCAAAGATATATCGATCTATACTATTTTTGAAGCTGTAAATTTTATAAATAAATATAAAAATATATTTTACGGCAACCACAAGGATTTTCAATATTGAAAACACATTTCTCACCACTATTTGAAGGTAATAGTAGGCTCTAATTTGATTATTTAGAGGGTAGGCAATATACGAACCGCGCCCAATGCAAAATACAGTAATAAAAACATGACGCGCAGGGTCCTAGAGTTCGTCCTGTGAAATGTCCTTGGCGTTGTTTCTCTCTCTGCTCCGCATTTCAATGAGTTGTTGGAGAGGGGGATCGCCAGGCCTACGGAACACTCTTTCACCTACTTTCAACTCGTATGCCTCTGCCTGCCTCAATACAAAATCCTTCAGCTGCTCCACAAAAATAATGAGAGAAATTGTTAGTTGCTGAGATTTATTTCAGCCAAACAGGTAATGAAATCCCAATTTAATAAGGGTTGGGTCTGGATGGCAATGGACCCGGACCCAGACCCGGACCCGGACCCAACCCGAAACTCGAAGACAGGACCGACTTGAGCATGGGCATGGGTCCAAAAATTGAACAAATTTTGGACCTGGATACTATTTGGGTCGGGGTTCATGTGGATCCAACTCAAATAGTGTTAATATTTAGTGTATAATATTTAAATAAATATAATTATACAATTTTAAATATAATAATTAATTAACATATGTATATATTTAATATAATATTCAAATAATTTTTATATATGTATTATTTTTATTTTTCAGTCTGGTCTAGGTCTAGGTCTAGGTCCCATAAATTTTTTCGGGTTCAGGTCGGGCATGACCCGGACCCGACTCTGTCTATTCGGTTGCCACCCCCTAATATAAGGAACCTCACCTTGTACTAAAAAACAAAAAAAAAGGTGCACATGTAAATTTTATTGGAAGATGTAGCCTCTTATGGCTTGAAAATCCATGTTCTATTCTCTCCGTGAAATTTAAAATTTCAAAACTGATACACATGGAGGGCATGAAAATTTTGAAAACACACAGCCTAGACAGCTTATCACAAGATTCTCATCATCTCGAGTTCGAGAACTCGGCTAATGGGAAGGTTTTCCAACTTCATAATACTCTTTTTCTTTGTGAGACGTGAGATATAATGTACTGCTGGTAAGAGATAATGAAATAAATTGTTAATTAATACACCACATAAGAGAGAGAGAGATCACATTCGATGAAATTAAGTGCTGAAATAATGCAGCAAGAAGCCAGATACTGTGTATTACAGCAGGAGAGAGAGAGAGAGCGAAGCACCTCTTCTATGTCTTGGCCTTGGTGCATGGTGAACATGATGGTGTTGACATCAACCGCCATGAATTTGGCCTCAATTGATCCGCTCCTCACCAATTTGCTCCATTTCATGGCTATCACCGGCACCTCCTCCTGCATAATGCTACTCATTCATTAGATTCAGAGAGAGAGAGAGGGGTTAAGCCTTTTATAGGTGTCTAAATCATTGAAATAACCCACATCAGTGAAAAGAATCAGCATTTTTCTGAAGTTTGGAAGGAAACATTTTAGGATTTTTTTAATACTTTTTCAAACACTTCTTCTTGTTTAAAAATGAATCAGATTCCCAGTTTCTTACCCACCCAATACCAAAAAGAATTACAGATTGATTTTTCTTATTCTTAAGAATTAGTGAGTTAGAAACCAAATCCAGAGAGAGAGAGAGCTTATGATGTTTGATAATACACCAGAGAAAACAGAGAGAGGAGAGGGAAGAGAGAGAAAGTACTCCTTTGTGGGTACCTGTTTCAAAATTAAACACTCCCAAACAAAAAAACAATTATCCCAAAAACGCAGACAAAAGACCCACATTTTCACATGCTCTAGAGCGAGAAACCCCAAAAAAAATTCGAAAAACCCCCAAGTTTTCACACCCCTAGAGAGAGAAACACCCATTATGAACAAACCCAAAAACCACACAAATAAAACCCAAAAAATTCACATACCCTTGAGCGAGAGACACCCAATCTGAGCTTGACAAAACCCATTGCAGGCCCAGTCTGCCTCTTCAAAACTTCAGCTTCAATCTGAGATGCGCTCATCTTACTAAAGTCAGGAAATGGCTCAATCGCAGGCTCCTTATCCTTCTTCTTACTGCCCCATTCTTTCCATGCCTCATCTTCTTCATCGTCTATCACATCGTCGAGAAAATCAGGCACTACAACTCTCTTTGCGGCCTCTGCAACTCTCAAAATTCCGGCCAAATTATTGCCGGAAAATGCACAGAAAGAAACACAGATGATTAAAATCGGCCACAAGTTCTTCATGATCGTTTTTCTCTGGTTTCTCCTGCAAGTTTCAGGGTACAAAACTAGAGAGAGAGAGGTTTTAACAGAGAGAGAGAGAGAGAATCAGGCAGAAATCTGGGCTTTCAGTCTTCCATCAGGGCGTCTTGCTAAATGAACGGAGGACACCGTTCCTATGAGTCCACGGACTCACATGTAGAAATGCGAGTCGCTTAATAATTTATTTTGAAATGGAATCTGTTTTAAATTTTTAGAAAATATATAATCTTTAACATAGAAATTATTAATCTGTAAAAATAAATAAAATTTAAAATGTGTGGTTTCTATATGGTTGTAACTTTAAACAATCCAATTACGGCGCACTTCCAAATTTTAACGTAACATGTAATTTTTGTGAAAAAAATTCATAAGATTATCTCAAAATCTATTTTCATATCTAATTATAAAATTTTAAATTTTAAAAATGGTGAAAATCAAACAAATCTATAAACATATGAAAACCTTAAAAATGAACCGTCGATATAATGTATTGCAAAATGCACTATTTTTTAGATTCAAAATTTTTTTTTTCTTTCATATTCATACATCTCAATTTTGAGATGATCCATTAGATGCTTTTCCAATATTAAAACAACCTTTTTAAATGGATTTTTGAACTGCATCTTCAAGTCTACCCTTTAAGGTTGCAACTTTATATAAATTTTTTCTAATTTTAAATACTGCAAATGATATTTTTTAAAGAAAATAGTTAAACAATTGATTTTATTTTTTATTTTGAAGTTGAAGGACTATTATTTACTAAGAGTACCCAATTTTGGTAGATGGTATAGATCTCCGAGCTCGTATAATAATATGTGCAAGCTTGGACGCACCAAACAATTTATGTGAACTAATGACTCAAATACACGTTTTTTCTTATCAAATATAGTGATGGGAAAGGCTTGCATCTTTTAGAGAATGACAGAAAACGGCCCTTAACGTTTTTCCAATGCACCAAAAGCAATTTTGTAATGGTTATCCGACCAGTTGGATAATCAATTAGATTCTTGTTTGATCAAAGTAAAAATTAATTTTTGTTGAGAAATCTAAGTATTGAAAAATTCAAATTTTAATTTTTTGTCTTTTAACTATACTCATGATTCTCTTGTGGTACTAAAAAATTTGAGATTGAAAAAATCCCTCCAACTAGGTTTTGTTGACCAATGGAGTAGTTGTAGTTTACATGCTCATAATTCTTCAAGAAAAAGTGTCATACGTGTGACGAAGAGGGCAAAAAACCTCCTCATCATACATGGGAGTAGATGTACAATACGCTCCTGCAGGGGGATAGTATACCGCTCATAATTCTTTTGGAGAAAATACCTCCAGACCACAATGGTTCGTGACGAAGAGGGCAAAATAGTGCTTACGCAAGAGGCTAGTCACTATACATGCATCAACAACTTTCCATATGTACAATGAACGGTAGATGTAGGTATAAGTACGTAAACGGAGTTGCATCATTAGATTGGTTGATCTTTAATATCATATAATGAATAGATGGCAGATGCACCGGTTGAGCACAAGAACACAGGAAGGAATGGGCTCAATGCTTTGTGGTGAATGGGTTTGGTGGTCATGGTGGTGGATAGCCACCATAACATGACATTTTGAATTCATTCTTATTATAAAATGGGAATCAAATTTAAATAAATAAATAAATAGCTTTCCAATTTCAAAGAGCCCATAAGATGAAAATTGGTTTTGAAAATTTTCAAATTACATCAAGGATAAATGTTAAATCGTCCAACTTTTGGGTGTTTTTTTAAAATTCTCTTTAAATTTTTAAAATGATTTCAAATCCAAATCATAACTAAATCTCAATATTCCTTATTCTTGCCTTCAAGATAAGGAAAACAGTTATTTATCTTAATCTTATATGCGAAAACAAACATTATCTTATGATGCATATCATTCTATTTTTATCTAAATAGCTAACTGCATATTAGCATGCATTTTTTTTTTAACAGACAAATTCATTATTAAGAATGTAAGAAAATAACATCACGATACATATATTTACTACAAGTTAAAAAAAAAAAAAAATTAAGTCCATGGATATGTAAAAGAAATGTATATAAGACCATTTATCAGGAGGTCACAATCATCATTGACTGTTACATTTGAAAACACATGGTTAAAGATATATCATTGTTTAAGTACAAAGTCTAAAACAAAATTTCTCGAATGTTGTCAGTCACTATCATCTAATAAATTTTACATCCGATGGCCTAAAGTGAATGTGACCTCCTTGTACCAAAAATAAATAGTATTAATATAAACTCTATAAAATTAGATATATTTTAATGATCCATGAAAGGAAACATTATTCATTTAAAATAGGTCTTCAACGAGGGTGGTTTCAAATTAAGAAAGTTTGATATGACATTTTTCATCTTCAAGAAAAGAAAAAAAAAACCTTCTAAGTCCTTATAAAATAAACTCCCCAAAGTTGGAAATGTATATTAATTCAGTGCATGAAAAGAAAGTCTAAGAGATTTCATCAAATAAGATGAAATGTCCTTATTGCGTAGTGACGTGTAAAGATTTAAGTAGATATTATATTGGGGATAAATCATATCGTAAATCCCTATTTTTTAAATTTAAAAATGGTTGTTTCAAACAAAAAGTGACAACTAATCTTTTAAAATTAAGAAAGTTTGAACTACTTTTAAGGTCTTCCTTGATGTTCACTACTAAAGTAGGTTGTTTACACGCCGGCAGTTATGAGTTGGTGGGACAAGCCCAGCACAGATACTGTTCATTTGGGTGTTTTTAATGAGAAAATATCTCCATACTTTTTATTTTTAGGTTTTATTTTACAGTAGATCCAAAGTTTTAAAAGATATCTTAGAATATAACAATTGTAGATTTTATTTTTTCTAATCCTCTGAACCAATTTAAACCTGTTTTTTAAGGCAAAATAAATCTAAAAAGACATGCCTTTTTCTAAAAGCCAACTCCCAAACTTCTAGAGAGAGAAGGGCTTCATGGCGGTGCAAAGTTACAGGGAAGAGAGAGAGAGTTAGAGAAACATGAGAGGAGAGAGAGATAGACACAGGAAGAGAGAAAAAAAAGAAAAGTTTGGGGTATATAAGTGAATAGAGAGAAATGATTGGGTTTAGAAATAACATGTCTTTCTCACATTTGTTTAGGTTAAAAAATAAGTTTAAAGTGATTAGGGTGTTAGAAGATATCTTTTGAAACCTTGGATTTATCGAGAGATGAAATTTAAAAATAGAGGATAAGAAGATATTTTCCCTTTTTTAATTAAAATTAAGAATTAGGTTATGGATCTTCCGCCCACTTTATCTATCTATATTGATTGGATCGGTTAAAAAATTGTAATAATAATAATACTAATAATCATCATTATCAATATCCAAGTTTTATCATAATTATTTAGGGTCGGTTACGTAAATCACGCTTCTCCATTCTTCTCTACCAAGACTTATACCCTCATTAAGGCTAAAAGACACTATAGTTTTTCTCATTACTTCTATCTATGTCCTTTTCGATCTTCTCCTTATCATTTTAGAACCTTCGGCTTGAATTAAATCGCACTCTACCTAGTGTTGTATTAAGTTTACGCTGGACATAGCCAGCCTACCTAAGTTTATTTTCTTTCATCCTATCGTCTATGACGGCACCTAAGTCTACTTTCTTATATCTTATTGCCTATTAAAGTCACACTTAAGTTCGATTGTATTTATTTATTCGAGATTTTATCCTTTCTTATCTTGTTACTTATCATTCTCAACATTCTCATCTCAGCTACATTTATCTTATGGAAATGTTATTTTTTGACGGCCCAACATTCATCCCATGAAGTATAATTGATCTTACAACCATCCTATCAAACTTCCTCTTCAGTCTCAATTATATGTGGTAATCATATAATACTTCGGATGCACATTCTCCACTTTGCCTACCCCATTTAAGTTTATATGTAATATCTTCCTCAATCTCTCCATTCTCCTAGATTATTGATCCTAGATATTGGAAATAATCTTTTTTATGTATTTCATGACCAATATTAACTTTTTCCTTGTTTCTACTTCTATTATTACTAAACTTGTATTTTATATATTCTATCTTAGTTCGACTAATTTTAAAACATTTAGATTCTATAGCATACCTCCAACATGCTAAGTTTTCATTGACGCCGCCTCTAGTTCATCGATCAAAATTATGTCATCCGCAAATAAGATACACCTCAGTACCTCATCTTGTAGGTGCCTGATTTGGGTAGCAATTCTCGATCTATATTACCGGATTCATACATAGTTACACTCTTTTGGAAAATAATGTAAAATTGAGATATAGAAGACATTTTGCTCTATTTTCTATAACATCAACTTTTTATTTAGGTAAGGGTGATGGTTTAATTCAAGGAAAAATTTTGTACATAACCCTAATTCCCCATGTTATTTCATGGTAGACCCTCCTTATATTTTCCTTTGAAGCGGCATAAAAAAATCTCTAAGGATTTCGTTGTACCCCCTCATCTGTTGTCTCTCTCATTTATTCACTTTTGACCATAAAAATTAGTCCTAACAAATCTTTTTATACCATTTCAACCCAATATGAGAGAGATAAGAAGCCCTTAACGTGGCATTGTGAAAAGGCAAAAAATATAATAAAAAATATTTTTGAAACGTTTTTTGGTTAAAAGATATAATGGGGTGTGAGATATTTTTGAAACGTTTTAAAAAATTCATAGTATTATCTCAAAATCAATTTTTATACCTAATTAGAAAATTTTAAATCGCAAAAATAGTTAAAATCAAGTAGATCTATAAATATATGCAAATCTTGAAAATGGACGGTCTAGATAATTGTTGCAAGATGCACTATTTTCGGGACTCAAAAACTTTTTTTTTTTTATCATATTCATATATCTCGATGTCGAGATGATCGACTAGAGTATTTTTTCAACATTAAAAAAACATTTTTGATATATTTTTGAGGTGCATCTGTGATTCTACATTTTAAGGTTGCAATCTTATATAAACATTTCCCATTAAATAAAATGTTATGTTAAGGTGTTTACATTATGGAGTCATTTATCATTGTACTCAACAAATTTTTGGTACTTCTATACCCTTGTTTGTATATAGAGTATTTTTTTAATAAGGATATTTTTGGTCATTAAGAGAAATATGACATCATCCACATGATATGACATCACCCACATGGAGCATTAAATGTACTAATGTGCTCCATATGGGTGATGTCCTACCCTATACAGATGACGTCATACTTGACAAAAAATACTCATATTAAAAACAAGCGCCATGTACAAAACAAGAGTATATAAGTGTTCGAATTTGTTGAGTACAATGATAAATTACTCCATAATATAAGCATCCTAACATAACACTTAAATAAAATGAAAAAACTGAGCCAAACAAGGCCCCAATATTGGTTTAAGGCTGGGCTGAGCCTAAGAGAATCAATGGTCATGTTCATACTCGAGTTAAAGGGTTGAGTGCCTGCTGGAGCTGGGCTTAAGCTTACACCCCCTAGCCTGATTAAACAAAAGGTAACTTGACTTGGAATCAATGTTGTCGAATGAAGTCATGATGCACAAGTATATAAACTAAGCAACGCATAATAAAACACCTTTGTCAATATGATATGATCTTTTAAATTGTGTTTTTTTAATCTTTTAAAGGGTGCTGTTTGTATAGAGCCGACGCTCTAAACATTCAAAGTAAAGCACACCTTCAAATAGTGTCGATAAATGTGGTTTTAATACTGGAAGTCTCCATAATAGCCTTAAAATATATTTCCATCTTTAATTATAAAAATTAAAACCTAAAAAATATTGTAGATCGAGCAGATCTATGAAAACTTAGCAATCCTGAAAATTGACGATCCAAAAATACTTTACAAGATGCACTATTTCCAAAGCTTGAAATCCATTTTTGTCTCAGGTCCATACATCTTGATATCGAGATGATCAATTTGAGGATATTTGGGCATCAAAACAATCTCTTTTAGTGAATTTTTTTAGGTGGGCCCTAATTTGATTGTTTAGAGCCTCTATATAAATTTTTTCCTTTAATAAATGAGACAGATTGGATTTTACACGGCATTAAGTGATTTTATGGCAAAATTTTAAAGAAAAAAGAATTCAAATGAAGTGTTTATGTTTTAAAGTATCAAACATCAGTGTTTTGTCCATAGCATATTAGCACAATCTCTTGGCATTGTGCTTTCTATATCCATATATGGGTTAGTTAGGATACTCACACACTTTAGAGTAATTTAACATTGTACTCAACAAATTTGGATACTTATATATCCTTGTTTCGTAGATGGGGCTCGGTTTTAGTAAAGGTATTTATTGAAAAAATCATTACTTTTTGTTTAAAAATTATTTTAGTAGATAACTTAATCATTAAATAAAAATGAATTATAAATTTTTATGAAAGTACAATGGTATTTTGAAAATATAAATATGAAATGCCCCATCAATGATATCTCCACGTATTTCATTCTTTTTATCCAAAGTCCAACTCCATACTCTACATCAATAAGTCTAAAAACATAAGAGGAAGAGGGAAAAAAAAAATCTACTTCCTAGTCCCATTAGGAAATAACATAAAAGGTGCGGTTTATATATGGTTGCAAATCTTTAAACAATCAAACTAAGATGCGGTTTCATACTTTTTCGTGAGATGCAATTTTGGTATTGAAAATTCTTAATATGGTACGAGAATCTATTTTTCTCTCTAATTATAAAATTTTAAGTAAAAAAAAATAGAAATTAAGCAAACTTATAAAACATGAAAATCATGAAAATAGACTATCCAAATAATGTGTTGCAAGATGTGTTATTTTTAGGACTTTAATTTTTTTTCCCATATCCATAGATTTCGATATCAAAATATCCTCTTCCTCAACTAGATAACCAACTTGGGAGAATTTTATCAATTTAGATATTTGGGATTCATCAAGAGAGATCACTAGAGGATTATTTTTAAAAGAAATGTTTTGAGTTTTAAATTTTCCAACACTTAGATCTCACTGGAAAAAAATATTGGACGATCTCCATTCAATCTTGAGACATTAGTCTTTTTTAAAATGTATAGAGAGTGCTATTTGGAAACTTTCATTTATTGAAAGTTAGTCTACGAGTCAAAAAGATTATACATACAAAATTGGTGTCTTATAAATGGGAAAGGTCTCTATAATTCCCCAACAGCATAAAATATATATGCTTCCCCTCCCAACCAGCTGCCCAACTTAGATCAAGTGAGTCATTCACCTTTTGATCTAGATCCAATGCCTTATAGTTTTTTATTTGTAATTTTTTCTACATATTGTATTACTATAAAATTTGGTACATATCATCTTCTCAAAAGAGACACGATATTACGATTGAAGCCATCTCAAGCGTAAATTCAGATGTGTTTTATAAGTTCGAGGCCATCTCAAGTGCAAATTCAGATGTGTTTTATAAGTTCGGGGGCGTGTTTTAGATGGAAAAATAAATGGATGGTACGAGGACTCATCCTCTACTGACCTTTTCAATACCAAAAATAAAAAAGTAAGCCTTACATATTGCAATGGAGAAAAAGATCATTTCAACCCATTGACTCCCATTCGAGGAAGAAAAGCACAATGCCAAGAGATGAACAATCCAGAGAGAGAGAGAGAGAGACTAATAATCCTTAGAGAGAGAGTAAACACACCACTAATCCTAAGAAATCGCCACCATTATTGAAATCACAAGAAGAAAGAGAGAGAGAGAAAAATTCAGATGGAGAAAGAGAGATTCTCAGTAATCATCCCCATAATCATCCTCCACCCTCTCAGCAACATCATCAGCTATCTTATCCTCCACATAATCCACTCCCTCCGCCAAAGCCAACCCACCCAATAAACCAGCCGCCGCTCCAACCGCCAGCCCCGTCCCCATTCCCATTTTGCTCCCTTTCTTCTCAGGAGGTGGCGCCCCCGGATAATTACCATAGTACCCCGCAGCCGGTGGCGCCGCCCCTCCGTAATTACCATAATACCCCCCACCGGATGGGGCCGCCCCTCCATAGCTACCATAAGACCGTTCTGCAGGAGGGGCATAAACTGGCGGGGCTGGAGGCGCACCATAACCATACCCGCTGTATGATTGAGGTGCCGGCTGCCGGCCATAGCCGTAAGGCTCTGGGGCTGGTTTCCGGGCATAACGGTCACGAATTACGATTACGACCTCAATCTTGCCTTGAGGGCGGCCCGACGGCCTCTTGAGCTTCAATTTTTTGGAGAAGCTGTGATCGTAACCCGCATCCTCTATGACTTCTCTTAGTGGCAGAGTCGCTGATCCGATGAACGACTTGGTCTTCTCCTCCCCACCGGCATGGACCACATCGATCCGCAATGTGGAATCCTCAGGGCGGTCTCTTAAGGGGATGGTGAGCTTGTAATTCCAGACAGGGGAGGTGTCACCCTCGTTGTCGACTCGAGTGGAGGATTTGTTGCCTGGATCGACCCAGGCCACGGCATACGGTTTGATGTCGCCGTAGCGCCAGTTCACATTCTTGAGGTCTTTAGCTGAGACGACAGTGAGCTCGAGCTCCATGGCCTTGGCGTCAGAAAAAGAGAGGATGAAATTGTTGGAAACTGCCGATCAGAGATCAAGAATGCCTGAAACGAATGTGCAAACAAATGATAATCGAGGTTTAAGTAGCTCGAAAATTGGAAAGTAGAAATTGCAGGAAAAAACCACTATTTTCAAAGAGAATAAAGAGCAGAAGTCAGAAAAATTATTGCCAGAAAATGAACAAATTGCCCGAAGAATGAAGAAAGTCGCCGGGAAATATAAATACTGCCGGAAAAACAGTAGATAAAAAAAAAAAACACAAAGCAAAAGTGCCAGAAAATGGACAACTAGGATTCAAGAAACTGCACAAACAGGGCCACAAAACGCTAGATTGAAAAACTTTATCGGAAAATTGAGAAATAACAAATAAACAATGTATTGAAAAACGAAGTTATAAAAAATGTGCAAATACACTGCATTGAAAGTTTAATACAGGAAAGGAAAATGGAGAAATAGAAAGAGTAGATGGAAAAATAAATTTCTAAAAATGGAGAAACAGCAGGAAAAAACTAGATAGAAATTTGCTCAGAAATCTAGAAATAACCAGAAAAAATCAAATCATCATCATCATTCTGAACATGTTTTATCAAGGGCTCAATAAAGCCATACACTCCCATAAAAAAAATCAGATATATCAGAGATTCGAATACTCAAAACCCTAATTTAACAGAATATCACATACTCAAAATCTTGAATATGCAAATCTATAATCCAATAATAAAAAGTGACTTTTCTTTTTGCTAAGATACCCTTAATTTTTTTTAAAAAAATATACGTACACTAATTTGGCTATCACTAAATCCGACAAGATTTTATAAAAAAGAATGCACAGAATAGGCCCATTATTTGCGATTTGACGGAAAATTAATAAGGGTTAGCAAGAGAAGCTTGTGTATTACCTTGAGTATTGACGGAATCAAACGTAGATCGTTACAAAATGGAAGGCAATCTGGACTGAACAACTGGCCGGAAAATTGATCAAAATGGCCGGAAAATTGATCAAAATGGCCGGAAACGTACCAGAGTGATGCCGTGCTGGTTTCGAAAGAGCATCAATCTGGGTTTTATAGCTTCTCTAAGCAAAAAATACTAAAATACCCTCTGATGTTTTTCTTATTATCGATGTTAGGATGATGACGTCTGTATCCTCCTGCATTTCAAAATTTATCCGTTTTGTGCTTCCAAGACTGCCGTTAGTGTTAGCGACTAAATGACCCTTTTGCCCTCTAGACAAAGCTCACTTCTCTATGCAAAAACTGGAGGGGCTATTTATTTTGAAAAAAGTTTATATAAAGTTGCAATCTTAAAATGTAAAATTACAAATGCATTTCAAAAATCCATCGAAAAATGTTGTTTTAATGTTGAATAACCCTTTAATTGATCATCTCAGCATTGAGAAGTATGAATGTGCAAAAAAAACGATTTTGAGTATTAAAAATAATACATCTTGCAACACGTTATCTAGACCGTCCATTTTCAAGATTCATATATTTTATAGATCTACTTAATTAACCATTTTTTAAGTTTTCAATTTACAATTAGATATAAAAATCGATTTTCAGATAATCATAAGAATTTTTTACCCCAAAATTATATATTAGAATAAAATTTGGTGGCGCGTCTTAATTGCATTGTTTAAGGTTGCAACCTTATAAAAACTACACTCCACTTATTTTTTATACGAGGTGGTCACAATTATTAAAACCATCTGATGGAAATTTGATAGTTTGTGTATGACACAAAGTTCAATTTTTTTTTTTTGGAACTTAGTCAATAGAATAAATGCAGCTACCCAATTTCATATCCAATAGTCAATATTAATTGTGACAACCTCGTATGGTCTTATTCCTACTCTACAAGAAATGCGCATTTAATGTTCATGAATTTTTTACCTTAATTAATTTATAGGAAATACATATTTACTAACTACAGCTGAATTTAGTGATCCATACCTAGACTACATCTACGGTTGGCAATAGGCTTGGTTGGGTTGAGCCTAGGTTTGCTCTACCCTAGCCCCTAAACTGCGCAAAATGAGCTCTGGGCCACTCATCTCGGCCAGATATAATTTTTCAAAAATAAATAAAACAAACATCTAGATGGGCTGGCCAGGCTTAGGCCCGAGACTATATTCTAATGTGGTGCTTAACTATAGGGTTGCAATTGGGCTTTTATATCCTGGGCTGACCAATTTCTAGCGAATAAATTAAATATCAACCTTGCCAAAAAAAATATTTATTGGGGGTGAAGGACCAAAATTTTTAGTTTTGCGATTCCTATGTAAAGCCCACACACGAAGGACAAAGTGGTCACTAACTGAAAAAATAAGGACCGCTTTGTCATTTGTCATGGACGTTGGGGCATGGTGGCCGTAAGGGCTCAACGGTAAAATTTATATTCTTGTTCTCTACTTCATAACAACTCCTAGAAGGGTTAATTTAAGAGTAAAGGTCGAAACGAGCCGGCGGAGGTTAGGGGAGGCAAGTGGCGAGGGACCCGACGGGGTCCAAAGTCTTGAAGCTCAGACCCCGACCCGAATTGATTATGCTGGATCGGGACCCAACTTTAGCCTAACCTAAAAATCAATTTTCAAGGTTCCTATAAAACAAAATAAAGCTTCACGTTAAATCTTCATATTTCGATAATAAAAATCTCTATGATGGCTTTGAAATCAATTTTCAACAATGACAATAAAATTTTAAAACAAATATTTAATTAAAAAAAACTAAAAGAAAAACTACTTGGGCCAGATCCGGACCCAAAGGGGCTACCTACTCCCAAACCTAGACCCATAGAGACTACTTGGACACAGACACAGGGAGACTATCTGGACCCACACTGACCTGTTGGGTCCCATATGGATAGACCGGGCGTCGGGTCTATCGTCAGATCTCGGGTGGCCATGCCGCCCAGGACGCCGGCTGGAGCAGGTTGATCCGGGTCGTTACTACCGGGGGAGGTATACGGGATCCAACGGTAACATATTGTTTTAAAATTTCAAAGAAACAAGAGACGGGCATAGAAATGGGGGAAGATTAAAACATCAGTGCTAATAATAGTCAAACTTAAATACTGCCATATTCCACACTAACTGACGGATGATTGACACGTGGCAAACGTGAAATTCACGCAGTACCTAGGACCTCTTTGGAAAGCGACTATGAAAAAGACCACAATACCCATAATTTTCTGTGGAATTATCAGAGGAGTGGGTCCTCGCCAACATGCCTGTCCCATTCTTTCAATGCGGATTTTGGCGAAATTTCGGCACGAAATATTTCGGCATTCGAAAGTAGAAATTTTTAACGCCCCTACCAAAAGGCTACGGTGAAAAAATTTATATTATCTCGAGCTGGTGTTCGAAACTGCGATTTGGGGTGGGCCGAGTAGTCAGGCCATGCCCGGCCCGAGAACTCATCCAGAGTCCCAGAAACTTAGTCAGCAAAAGTAAAAAAGTAAGCAAAGCCTATTTAAAAAAGAAGCAAAAAATAGAATTTCGAAAATCAAATTGTGACGGGTTATTTTCAAATTAATTCAAACAATATGAAAAAAATGTAAAAATAAGATTCATGGCCAAAACACTTTCCATTTTTTGTCAAAATTATGGAAAATATAAAAAATACATCACAAATAAAATTTTTATTTTTTGATATTTTTAATTTTTTTTTAATATGCCCAAACGGAACACCCCACTTGAAAAAACTCGGGCTTGCCAGAGCAGTCAAACAATGCAAAAACAAATACACAAGAAAAGAAAAATAAAGAGACGGGAGTGCATGCAGATCAGTAAAAAGAAATACAAAAGTTGACCAATTCATTGTTCATAAGGGATCTCTCCCCACTTAAAATATTCTTCCACAAAGGCAACCTTAATTAAACTACTCCTTAGAACACATTGGGAATATTAATAAATACAGAATGAAACACATTGGGAATATTAATAAAGAAAGAAGATGATGAGATTGCTTGGAATTCGAAAAATCGATGAAATAGACAATGGCGCATGGCCTAGGGTCTTTCAATTGAAGGGGTGGTGGCACAACAACACACAAGGGGGTTTGTTTTTACTACCCCAAAATTTTCAATAATTTTGAATTTACTTTGTGGGGAATTTCCCAAAAATAAATAAATAAATTTAGATTTTTAAAAAAAAAACCCGAGGCCATGGTTCGAGTCCTCCTTGGTTAGAGCCCTATTCCACATACTTTCTAAGCATGGAGTTGGTGGTTGGTGTAGAAAGTTCAATGCCTTTGGAAAAAGGGTCTAGTTTCTAGAAGGCCTAAGCCTTATGAAAGCAAAGTAAAGCCTCACTTCTAAAATATATTTCTACCATAGATTATAAAATGGGCAAGCCTTTTAGGCTTCTCCTCCAACACAAAAGTCATATACTTCTCCCTATTCAAACTGTCAATTTTGAATGGACGGCTGAGATGACATCAATCACAATATCACGTCCCAATAATATTTTATTTTTAATTTTTTACAAAATATTTGGACACCAAAATTTGGGTGTCCACTCTTATCTTAAACTCACACTGGTAAAAAATATTAAAAAAACTTTCTAATAAATTAAAATGATCAAAATACCCCTAAAAACTTCAAGGGGTATTTTGGTCATTATATTTTATAAAAAATTAATTTTATTATTATTTTTAGGTGCGCCAAATTGAAAAGATGACACGTATAAAATTACATATTCATATAATTTGTGGAAAAAAACTATAAATAAAATACTTTGAGACATCAAATCTCGATCGAATGGTCAGGGGCTCACATGATCTAAATTGAACAACTAGATGGAGGGAGAAATATATATCCTTTATGCTGAAGGAGAAGTATAGAAACTTTTCCTTTTTAAAATTTGTAACTAGATATTGCGAATTGGGCAAATAACTTATCCTAATGTTCACAATTCATTGTCAAAAAATAAAAATAAAAATGAAAATGAACAGGCGCCGAGGTTTAGGGATGATGTAACTTTGTCCACCATAGTTTCATATTTGTTATCTTTTGAAATGGTCCCTTCCACGTCGTTCACCCTCGAAGTGGGTGGATAATATGGACCTTTCATTATGGAAAAAGTTTATATTTTCTATTGTATGAGTAATGTGCACCTCAAAAACGCACTAGAGAAGGTTGTTTTTATTCTAGAAAACTTTCATCTCGATCTAGAGATTTATAAACATTAAAAACAGAGGGGACTAGTTCATCTTCTAATACATTATCTAGACCGTCCATTTTCAGGATTTTCAAGTGTTTATAGGTCTGTTTGATCGTCACCATTTCTAAAACTTAAAATTTTATAATTGGGAGGTAACAATAGATTTTGATATCATTGCAAGGCTTTACGGCACCGAAACTGCATTTTTGGCATAGTTTGGAGGCGTGCCTTACTTCAATTGTATAAGGTTGACACCTTTTACAAACCTCACCCCTTTCATTATTCCTTGAATTATATTCTTCATCGAGACTTCCTAGAGCTGATGTAGAAACCCCATTTTTGGAATTGATATTTTTTTTTAGAGTTTTGAATCTCAAAGAATACAAAAGTCAACCTTATACTGTACGAGCAAGGTGTTCCCAAAAATTCCAATGCCAAGGTTTCTTCTATGCTATAAAACCCTCAAATCAATGATCTTCGCCTCAAGATTAATAGATATATATATAAAAAAAAGATGATGTTTTTTAGTCCTAAACGTAATTTATCTTCTAATACATTATCTAGGCTATCCATATTCAAGATTTTTAAATGTTTATAAATACTTGATCGTCACCATTTTTGAAACTTTAAATTTTGTAACAGGAGCATCACTAGACTTTACAACAGCAAAACTGCATTTTGGACATAGTTTTGAAGTACATCTTACTTTAATAGTATAGTATAATGTTGACACCTTATACAAAACCATAGTTTTGAAGTGCATCTTACTTTAATAGTATAATGTTGACACCTTATACAAAACCTCACCCATACAAAATGACTGCTTAGATGTATAGAAAATATGTCTTAGACAAGCTTTTTAACCCATAGAGACTATATTAACCCAATACACT